ATTCAAGTCGCATACTACAAGTCGCGCGCGACAAATCGTACCGTGTAAATCAGCCTTTAGAGTTCTTCTTTCCTCAAATCAGACAGGCGTTCCTCGCAGAGGTCATTGGAAGAGGGTGGAGAGGAGATCTTCTTGAGATTGAGAAAGTGGCCGACCACTGTGATCCCTGGTCGATCCTTAAATCGGGTACCGACCGTTTTGTGAAGGTGACTGGTATTAAACTTCAGGGGTCCCCTAAGTAGCTTTCCGATGAAAATACTTCATTTTTGTGGTCTCTCCCGTCGTAAGACGGAAAACTACCATGCAAATCTGTTGTACGTACGTACACGTACGTACGTACGTAACTATTTTCTCGATTTAGGGAGGAACACATACAATCAACATCAAACGTCTTACCTTTATTCACAACAGTTTATTAATATATTAGATTTATATTAGTATATTCTATATATTAAATTATTAGCAAGTATAGATATTTACAAGTGGAGTAGCTTTGTTTATATATTACTTTTATTGTAATTTTTTTCTTAATATATGCGTTCTACGTATTTCCGATCGATATGGAAGTTGCAACAATGAATATGAGCGATTGGGGAAGAAACCACTTACTACAGCTACGCAAAATTCAAATATATCTACACCTGAGTGGCCTTCCTCGTACGTCAATCTAAAGTGGCCGTATATTAGAGGTTTAGGTGGCCGTTTAAGAAAGGATGGTCGCTTAATCATGTTATTTTGATTGGCCACACCTTAACACAAGGAGAACTCAATCATAAATGTAAAAAGGAGGCCGGACGCAAACATATTCATATTTAAGATCCAACAACATCACTTAGAAAAATCGAAATCATTTTGTTATGGACGTTAATAATGGTTTTCTATATACAACATGTTAACTTAATTCCTGGCCACACCYTATCGTTTCAACTCTATTATAATCCTCTTGTACCACCTGATTGGATAATAGTCATGAATTACTAATATAACATAACGAGTCAACGTATTGAAATATATTACTTTGATGATTATTTTGGGCATTTAATGCTATAAACATTACATATTTCTACTACTTTTCTCTCTCAGTATATTCGACTTTATTTGCTTAAATTAGCATGGTCATGTGATGATTTGCGTTTTCCTGATCCCGTTTAGCAATTAAAAAGGATTCAAAACCAATGTTCAGAACGTTGAAGACAAAAGTTGTCTTTCATAATGATAGCAGCCTGGTACTGAAACTCAGCCATTTTCTTCTCGTGCAATCAACCCTCTATATAGATATATAGATCGCACCGTCTTTTGTGATGGCAAGTTGGAAACCTTGTGCCGATTCACACTACAATGCTTGATAAAGCATGTTGCCAATCAATCGACTCAAAGGTAGTTTTAAAAGGCTTCACAACGATTCCCATCATTGCTTCTTAAAATCTTCTTTATAATCTTTATAATTAATTCTAAACATCGGCGGTGAAACTTGTTGTCTTCAAACTTTGACTCCAGTCGATGGCAAAGACGCTGTAGTCGACGAAATAGCTCGATTGTAAACACCAGAGAAACTTTTCGTAAGCAAACTTTGACTCCGGTTGAGCTTACAGTCGTGTCCAAGAAGATGCAATCGATTTAAACTGAAGTCTTTTGAACGTGGTAATTACTGGCGCGAATAGACGAACCACTTCTGCTTGTTTTATCAATACTGTAGCCATTATCGCCCCCACCGCATATGCCTCCACAGCAGGCTTTCTTGGACAGCATTTTCTTTAATTCTTTGATAAATGTTTTATTYCTTAAAGCATATAGGATCGGRTTGAGACAGCTGTTCACYGTTAAACAGATTGCGCAAAATGATGAAGTTAAGACCTCGGCTACGACTCGTGACATTGCCTGCTTACGACTTAATATGGACCAAGCTAGTGATATGGCGATCGGTAGCAAGAAGAAAAACATGTTGCTAATAACGAGGACGAAAATMCGCTTCGCCAAYGCTACATCTGTTGTACTTCCAATACGATTGCTTGATTTCTTCACATAGAGGTATAACCTTACGTAGAGGGGTAGGGTAGCTAAGTACATTAGACAAGCGGATAAAGTCACTACAATACTGTACCAGAATTGATGTGGGATGGATTTAACGGGGTAAATAGGTACACAGAATGTTCCTATTGAATACATTCCAACTCCTAAGATAGGAAGTGCAGCCACTAGAATCGACCAAAACCAGCACATCATAATAGCAATACGTGCAGTCTTCATTTTCATCCTAGATTTAACTTTCACCGAGTTGACGACGGAACGATATCTTTCATATGTTAACACTAGAGAACAGCTGACCGCAATGGCTTGCCCAATCATCCACATTGGACCAATGAAATCACACYTAGAGTCAGCAAACGCACGTGTTTCTTCGTAGTTGAACACGTGATGGACAACAGCGATGATCACCGAATACACGCCGTTTAACAGATCTCCAAAAGCAAGATTCGACACCAGGACCATCGCAATGTTCCTGCGCAGGCGCTCTGAAAACGCTGTTGTCAAGACAACCACTAGATTCAAAAAGATTGCGATTGGTCCAAATAGGTACTCCAAGGCTAGTACCCGTATGTTGATGTCACGGCAAGGCGCTGACGATTTAACTATGACGTCATTGTTGTAACACTTGGAGTCTTCTTTGAAGCAATCCGCAATAAAGTTGAACTTTGCAAACAGCTGGATTTTCGCGCTGTACTTTGTTATCTTGGCCCGACATGCGTAGCCTTCCACCCACTCGGACTTTTCTTCCTCCTTGAAGTCAGCGAGGAGWGTTTCGTTTTTGACTTTTTTAAGGGTACAATCACTACAGTCTTCACTCCATCTAACACCTTTGACCTCCTTAAGGGTTTTGACGCTGCCAAGCAAGATGGCGTCTGGTGTCCAACCATCGTTGTCTTTTACATCAAGATATTGCAAGGACGGTGCCTCTTCTTGAAGGCTGATGGTGTCCCACGAAGTTAAATGGTTTCCACTTAAATTCCTTGAGAAAAAAACGAAAGTAAAGTCATTTGTTAATTTCTGAGATCACAAGAAAATATCGTGGGCAYGCAAACCACAAGGAGTTCAATTTTTTCGGGTAATGCTATGGACATATCATACCGAATAMGAATGTATAAATCTTGCACCCTTTTGTGCAGCCGGTTCAATGGGTCACGTGTAATGAGCTCAGCATTGCGTGACAGGTTGCGGRAGGACCAGTGGGCAAGGAATGTACGGGGCATTTCGATCTACTATCAATTTAACGCTACAAAAACGGTGGAARCACACAAAGCTTACATGACACCCAATATCGTTGCCATGGTATGAAATGTTGGTCAGAAACCTCCCTTTTATTATTCGATTGGTAAYATTCAGGGTTCATATTGATATACACAAAAAAATATGCCTAATATGCATACCATTAGCAGATATGTGTGTCAATATTTTGATCTAAATCTGATTTTATCTCGTCCAGTCGATAGTTCTCTTGAAATTCAAAATGTTTGATAATTGATGTCCACTTGAGATGAAAATCATTAATTTTAAGAGACGTGCTACGTTCTGAGAGAACCACGAGAACATTCCCTTTTTATCAATTTTATTGGGGCATATATCATCCATTCATCCCAGTATCCATTAATTCACTTCCCATTTAACTATCCAGCCATTMATTTCATTCTTTCATCATATATTATGTGTTGTTGATGTATTTTTAGTATCTGTTCATTTATTCAACCATTCATTTATTTTTTTAAATCTTTCATTCGTTCATTTATTTTCTCCTAGTCTTGCAGCATTTATTTATTTAAACTACTTATATACTGGGATTTATATATTCAGTACTAGCCCTAAAAATAGTCAACTGGGACAACATTCCACACACATGACATCACCTCTCGGCCTTAATTAGACTCTCGACGTTTCGATTAAATAAAGTACTTACAGCGTTATTAGATTAGTAAATCCACTGAAAGATCCTTCAGGAATATGAGTAATATTACCATTCGACAGGTCACTGTTGACAATAAATAATTCATTTGCTTAATAAATCAACGATGCAATCAAGCGATGAGCATTTGCAGAATATCACGGAAACTTTGCGGGAGCTACTCTGTGACCCACTGGGAATTAAAGTGYCCATTTAGGAATACTGAGATACTGTTCAAAAACTTAGAATCTATGATTGGAGATAATTTAAGGTGTAGGAGAAGTAAATTAAGTGTCGTGGAAAGACTTCGTGTTGTTATGTTAAAAATTAATGAGCCTGTCATTTCAATGCCATTTCTCTCCCTTTTAGAAATCTCGTTCTGTTCGGCACTATACCGACTATCTAAAATTGATCTGACGGTTTGATTTTAATGATATCGTTGATTGAGYATGCATCTTGATATATTAGACCACACATTGGGTTCTGGACCACGAAATGGAAAAATATTGATCGAAACCCCAGTGACCAGAATATATGCAAGTGTTTTTATGAGCGGGAAAAATAATAAACGAAAGAGAAATAGCGTGTCGCGCTTGTATGGTTTGCTTGTTTGAGGAAAGCGATATATGCATTTACTGACAAAAAGGAAAGAATAGAAAAAAGAGTGTTTTAATAAATCGAAAAAATGGAGAATCGTTCAAAGAAAGGTAGAAAAAACAATATGATGGAAATTTTAGAATGCGCGCAAATGCGCAAGTTCTTGTGTAAACATGTAAACATTTATAAGTTTATTGATCTTCACTAAACGTGCAAAAAYAACTTCTTTCTGGATATCCTTAGAAAAAATAGCAAAATAATGCCAAAATACTCTCCATGACGTATATCTTTGCACCGCCGACCTAAACACTATTTTCCCACAGTATGAAGATCAAGCGTCCATGATCTTCACCAAAGCCTTCATCAAACAACAAATCTCTCATCGGGGATCATTGATGAGTCATTTTGTATGCAATCACATAACAAAGGGGTTTGATTACATCGTCAAAGCTATACTTTATCGTATGTGGGGAAGTCTGGGAAGTTTTTTTCATCGTATGAAGGATTTAATACTAGTAAGCATCCGTGACAGAGAAATATTTACASATTTGCTTGCTGTAGTTGTAGAGAATTTTATTTGAAATGTTGTTTCATATTTCATGASGAAACTTCATTATATGTTATGCATATTAGGGGATATTTCATAGCCCTAGGACATGACAGTTGTTTTGAGTTTCACGATCTTTAATAACGTGCCTCTCCGCTTTTCTAGGCACTTGATCTTTTGATGTCTTGTTTTACAGATTAGAGAATAAGTAAGGCGTTTTGGAGGACAAATCTTTAAAAGAATATCCGCTATAAAAAATAACAACTTGGATAAACTAAGAAATTTGATTTAGATAGCTTATACCTATTGTGAAAAAATATCAGTGTTAAGTTATCTGGAGGTGAAATTCGCAATCCGTGATCATTTCATTTAATGCAATTTTTTCATCCTTAATTTGCCTGCCGGCACGCAAAAAAAGGGCCGTCCAAGAGACAAGAATKTGTTATTCACATACTGGGCTTAATCGTGGCGTCAATTTGTCTCCGAATTATTTTTGTTCACATAAAGTACAAAAGTCTCGACCTGGTCTGGCTGACATTTGCTGAATCAATAGCTCTTTCGATTTCTAATTTTTGCCACCCTGACAGATGTCTAGAATACCTTCCCTCGGACGGAAGTGATTGCATCGTTTCAATATAGACTCCAATATAAAGATTTTCAAATATATTTTCTATGTGTTTTTTATTTTCAAATCTGCAATTCAAAACATTTCATTTTGCGTTTATTAAAAAYTTTTGTTATCGTTTCTAGTAATGAATTATTCCGTAGTAATTTGGTGTAGGCGCTTAAACAAGGCGCCAACAATCTGCTGCGATCAAATCTTAACTGAGGAAACAACCCCGAGAGCAGAAGGTGAACGCAATAAAAACTCGCGTAAAATCCTGACGGACAAAAGGGAAACTAAGCAGAGATCTCAAGTGGGCTGTACTTCCCCAAGAGGAGACAAAAATAGCCTTAGAGAGGAGACAGAGTCATTGTTATTTATTCATTGAAAGATAGCTGAATGAATAA